TCCAATTTTGATGTTTAGCACTGAAGTTGCTCTAAAAGAGGTCATTCATTCCACATATTATCAATAACTTAATTTTACCAATTTACTAATAGAACAATAACATAGACCATATTAAGTGATATCACAAGCTCTTGTATTGGTTATTGAGATGCTATATCCAATGACACACATCGGGTGCTCTTTAATTGTTGATGTGGTGAAATAATTTTTCACTAAGCACATATAATTATAGATGTGTTTAATTATATGCGGATCAACGCTTAATAATCACTCGATGTAATTCACTGAATATAACTTCAAATAAACGACAATTAATTGATTATTAAGAAAATTGGTAGATGAATCGGGCAAAACCCGACCCATGACTAGACCAATTGTGATCCATGTTGGACAAAAGGGACCAACCAATGATTTGATATATATGATGATGATGATGATGGGCATTTGATTTGGTTGTAGTGGAAATTGGCAATCATGGTGACCACCATTTCCGGGGATAAGGTTTTACCTTGTCCATTGTTAGTTCCCCCTTTTCCGCTCAACCCACAATATTGCTAACCATGGTTAATTAATAATGCCCCTCTTTAATTTATCCCATTTTCTCACTTTTTTTTTTTGTTTTTTTTTTGTGTGTGTGTGTGTGTGTAATGTACTCATCAATTTCATGATAAATTATATTAGATGAAATATTTTAAATTCATGATAACAAATTATCCGAGTCTGGTTAAATTCATGATACAATCGGGAAAAATAAAATTCTATTAATTTAACAAAATATTAAATTGCCGAATCTGAACCAGAAAAAAATATTATTTTACGAGATTATTAATTTATCGAAGTTCTAATATATAAATTATATGCTACGAAATCAATCAACCTATGAGTTTATTACTAAAAGAAAAATAACATAGTCGTGCACCCATAAGTGAATCACGTGGATTTTGTTCTCTTGTCTCCCGCTAAGATACAACTTATCTTTGTTTCATTAATAAAGAGTTGTACATGAAAGCACTAAGGGGTGCGCTAGCGGGTCGAGCAAGAGAGAGCAGCGATATTTAAATTGAGCTCGAATCTTTTTACCAATATTTTTTTCAATCGAACTCGTCACGTATTATTAGTATAGTGTGATTTACATATTTTTGCGATGTCGACCGATCATACAAATGTTAAATATACAATAATTAATTAAGAAGTAACAAGTAGTCAATGATTGTGGACAAAAAGTCAATAATACAATGATTAATGAAGAAGTAAAAATAAAATTAAAAAATTGATGAGTCAAAAGTAGTGAATATTGGCACTGATTAAAATGATGATAAGGCCCATTATTGTGCATGAAAATAGAATAATAATCTTTATGGTGCAAAGGACAACATATATTATTTAGTTTGGATTTTTTATTTTCTTCTTTTCTTTTTAATTACTTTTCTTTAATAGAAGAGTTTGGATTTTTTCACACAAGTGGGAAAAAGTGCTTATCACATTCAACCGACTTCAAAGGAAAAAGCCTCCACTCCATTACTTTCTCGATTTGTTCTTATACTATACTCAAAATTTAAAAAAATTATTCCATCCGTCCTACAATAACCGTAACTTTTGAAAATGTTTTTTGTTACATATTTTATGTTACTTTACATTTTCAATACTGTATCGAATGTTTCATATTTTAACATTAGTAATCCATCTGTAAGTATTAACTATCTCTATAAATAAATGTTATTTTAGTCTTTTTATATGAATTTTACTAAAATGAAGACATATTTATTGTGTTTATTAATACTTGTATAGAGCTGAAAATAGATAACTATTTAGGAACGGATGGAGTATAATATTCTATCTATATATATGTATAAATCCATACATATTACACATATTCTGGCGTTTATACGTATATGTACATGCGTGTGTGTGATTAATATGTTAAAAAATATGAAAAATTATCGAATATATTTTCACTATCTTGTAAAATATATCACCCATCATATATTATACAAGATTTGTTTGTGGGATTAGACTTTCATAGGGAAGCATCATTCTTTCGTTTAAAAGTAGTGAACCTCATCATCTAGATAGAGAAAGATAGTGAAAATAAATAATTAAAAGTGTGCATACATAATAATAATAATAATAATAATAATAATAATAATAATAATAATAATAATAATAATAATAATAATAATAATAATAATAATTAATATTGTTAATATATATATATATTTTTTTTATGACAAATTTTGTGATATTTTATTAGGGCAAATTACGGCCACCCCTGAGCTATGGTCAAATTACGAAAACCCCCCTCCTGTTTGGGCTATTACAGCCACCCCCTCAACTATGTATTTATCTTACGAAAAGACCCCTCAAGAGGTAAATTTAGGGATGTTAATTCGGTAAAACCGAACCAAAATTTCGGTACGTCAACATTTCATACCGTTTACCGAACTAAATATACGATTTGGTTTGGTAAATAACCGAATTACATAAATTTTACGTAAAAATATTTAAAAGGAGGGGGGTGGCTGTAATTACCCAAACAAGAGGGGTTTTTTCGTAATTTGACCATACCTCAGGGGTGGCCGTAATTTGCCCTATTTTATTATTGTACATTAATAAAATTCCAATGTAAAACATGTGATATACTGATATGTAATGGATATTTGGACAATTGAAATGGATTTTTGCGAAATTTTCCATGTGATTTAAATTAACTTCATACATGTGGAATAAAAATCTTTTCGGGATAAAATCTTTTGTGAGATCAATAATTGGTACAACTATTCATATGGTCTCGAACAAGGAACTCAATTAGAATATTTTAAATTTAAAAATATTCCGACAAATTAAAAAGTATATTTGAATGTAAATCATTTTGAAAGTTAGGAGATATATTTAATTATTTATATAAAATAAATCGTTATAGTGGAAAATTCGATTCGGCCACCCCAAATGTAAATGTAGCCCTGTCCGATTTGATTTTAGAGATATTCCACAAAAGGATATAAATTAGGGATTAAGCTCTCCAGCCCATATATAGGCCCAATAAGCTTATTAAGAGAATACAAAGAGCCCGGTTTAAGAGGGTGGCCTATTAATCTTGATATTATGGGTGAAAATATCATCGAATACTTGGGGTGTAATCGGACGGTTCGCATCGTAATTAGCTATTTCAGAAAGAAAAACTATGATCTTTTTGGAAGTAAAAAACTAATTCCCCTTTCGTCTAAACAAAATCAGAAATCATAAACTGGAATGAAAAAACTTGCTCCAAAGTCAGAAAATTTCAGAACAAAATTGGCAAAATTGGAAATTTTCCAATTTTTTGTTACATAAATCGGGCTAAAATATAAAATGCTATGGGGGCAAGGGATTCTAGTGGGATGTGTAAAGTGTTTGTGGTGGAATGTTAGTGAGTTTGCGAGTCGTCCGAAGGTAGTGGAAGAAGAGGCTAATGCAGCTCTATATGCCTTGGCCAAATCGTTCTCTAACCGTTGGATTTTTTAAGGCGATTGTTTACAAGTGATGAACGCACTTAAGGCGACGGAGGCATTAGGCTCATCTTTCGGAGCTTCCATTGAAGATTGTATGTTCTTGGCGAAATCTTTTATTTCCTATTCTTTTAGTTTTGTTAAACGAAATGGGAATGGTATTGCTCATAATCTCTCGCATGTTTTGCTAATTATGATTGTAAGAAAGTGTACTTTCTTCCCTTAACATGGTAAGTAATACCATCTGTTGTTTCGTCTAAAAAAATATAAAATACTTAAGGGCTCGTTCGGTTACTGTTATAAGGTTCTACTGACTAAATAGTAGGGGCTATTAACACGTCTAGTTAACAAGATTCACGTTTTTTTCAAACCCGCTACTAAAATCAAAGCCCGTTATTAAATGGTAGATACTATTGCATTAAATTAGTAGCACCCCTCCCCAATAAATTAATTAAATAGGGGTGATTAAAAAGGAAAAAAACAATTTTATCATTAAAATCATATCGTATTATTTTAAACTAAGTGGTTTTATAGACAATTAATATATAATAACTAAATTTAACAAATTTAATAGAAGATCTAGGGCTCGTTCGGTTACCTATATTGGATTAGATTGGATTACATGAGATTGGATTAACTCCCTACCGACTAATTAATTATTTAGTTAGTAGCATGTTCGGTTTCTTAGATTAGATTTTCTATTAAATTTGTTAAAATCGGTTATTATATATGAATTGTCTATAAAACCAATGAGTTTACAATAATAAAATATGATTTTAAGGATAAAATTGTCTTTTTCCTTTTTAGTCACCCCCTATTAAATTAATCTCAGGGGGAGGGGTGCTACTAATTTAAAGAAACTAGTAATACACCCGTGCGATGCACGGTGTATTCATCGTAAAACAAATATTGAATAATAAAAAAGGTTCTCAAAATAGTGATATTAATTGTTAATAAGTAAAAGAAAGAAGTAGAACATATTCAAAAATAAAAATAATTTGTATGGTGTAAGTTCAAAATAAGCCGAAATAAGTGAAAAAAACTAAACATCGAATGTTTTAATTTTCTCATACAAATTAAAAGAACGAATATATAGTTGGTCCCAAACTTGTACAACCATAATGACATGAACGTTGAAAACTTGAATTGTTTGCTACCAACCGCCCTAAACGAATGCAACAAATCCAATACAATGCAACTGACCTGCATATGTTGTAAAATGGTCACACGAAATATGTAAATTGTTACCAAAACAATACCAATATAACTTTTTAATTGCATAAAATTATTGTAAGATTACCTTCATCAAATATAGCGAGCGGAGTCCATAGCAAGTTCCTAGTACAATTAAAATAAACCTACGAATGAGGAATAACAAAACATAAAAATAATAGATAATAAAGGTCGTCAATAAATATTGTAATTTTTTGTATAAATAATTACCTTCATATACGCTGAAAAACTTCCTTGTATACAACATTATTTGTAACATTAGTCGTATCACCAGATTCCGAGTTAATCAAAAATCTTTATGCCACTTCGACTCTTAACCCTCGAGAGTGCAACATAGAGTTGTCCGTGACTGAAAACAGGTCTCGGCAAGTACATGCCCACGTGAGAAAGAGTTTGTCCTTGACTTTTATTGATTGTCATTGTGAATGATACCATCAGCGGAAACTGACGTCGCTGGAATTTAATAGGCAATGCAGAGTTGGACGGTACCAAAGTCATTCTAGGAATGAACACCATATCACCAACATGTTTACCGGACAGGATCCTGCAGTTGAGAACGTGTTTTCCCATATTAATAATCTGAAGCCTTGTTCCATTGCACAATCCTCTGGCCTGATCGATATTTCTGATGAGCATAACGGGAACACCTCTTTTCAATGTCAACTTATGCGGTGGAATTCCGGAACATGATATGGTGTTGAGAAACTACGGTGAGTATATTTCTGCGTTGACATCCGACAACTCCTCCTTGCACATACTAACTGAGCTGAAATAGACCTTCTTCTCTCCAGTTATGATCAACAAAAAATGATCGTTCACAAAACCAACACTTTCATTAGTGGGTGCAAGGATTGCTCTGCCTTCGAAATACTCGGGAGTGAAAAGCTTGGTCACCAAATCCGGATAGACAAACTCTATATGATCCAAAAAGGGATCTGCAGAATTCCGAATCAGCATGTCATCGGGAATTTCAATTGTGGCATTACCGTCATTTATCTCGCCAGCATCGCCATTGCCGATTCTCAATATTCAGTCCGCAAATTCTCTTATTTCATCTGCATTGGCGGAAGAGGAGGACGACTCAAGTCTCATGTTCTTGTTTAACTTCATAACCTTGCATTGCCTCCACAACGGTGATGAATTGATTGTAGCATGCACAATGTCTTGTCTCGACGCTTTCAACACAACTGGCAGAATTTGCCGAAAGTCCCCTCCAAGCACTACGACCTTGCCTCCGAATGGCATATATGAATCAAGTATAGATTTCATTGTTTTGTCGAGTGCTTCGAAACAATACATGTGCATCATCGGTGCCTCGTCCCATATGATTAGCTTTGCTACAGACAACAATTCTGCCTGTGGGCTCTGTTGTTTGATGTTGCATGTGGAGCTCTCATGTACAATTATTGGCAGTCCAAATCTAGAATGAGCAGTTCTGCCACCTGGAAGTAGAAGCGAAGCAATACCACTGGAAGCAACATTTATAACTATTTCTCCTTTTGAACGGATAACAGCCGATAGAGTTTTCCGTATGAAAGTCTTTCCCGTTCCTCCATGCCCATAAAGAAAGAACAGTCCACCTCTGTCATTTGTAACAGCATCCATGATATCATCGAACACTTTTTTCTGCTCATCAGTAATGGATGAAAGGTATTTCTTAAGTTCTTCACGCATAGCATCAATGTCATAGTACAACTCGTCGAGAACTAATCTATTTACCGTGTTGTCCGTCATCGACCCAATTGGAATCGGCATTGGGGGAAAGTTACTCAGGCTTTTGCTGTTGCTTTGCAATATATTTTCTATTTCGATCAAAGCGTAATTTCTCAGAGTATCGTCTGACACAGGTGGACCTTCAATATAATATAATATGAAAAATTAACATAATGTGGCGATTATAAAAATATATAGTTTTAATTCAAATGTGTGTAGTAAACGGTGTAAGAACGTAAGATGTATTCTCATACCTGAATTGGTACGACGTTGTTGCAGTTTGTACTCAATATCCTCGGCGAATTCTTTCCAGCAACACTCCCACACATGTTCTGGTCTGCTCATATTATTTGCGACCAAAAGTACGACGAATAATCGTCTCACATAGTCACCACTGGCCCACTCGTTTGCCTCATTTATGCCAGCTATGTACTCCTTGTCGTCATCCAGTAGTCCAAGCGCAAAGCACGCATCTTTGAAAGTTGGGTAGACGTGATCCTCGACTTTCCTAAGATCATCGTAACACGTGCAACCTCTTTGAAAGTTCAACAACAGTCTCAAGTAATAGTCTTCACCCCTGCCTGACGGTACATTCGTAACCCTTGCGATCGAGAATCCTATCTTTCTCGGCATCCAACAGCGAGCTTTTTCCTTATAGACAAATTTCTGTGGAAACTCTCCATACCTCAAATTTCTAGCTTCAGGGTACAACTTATTCTCTTGGAACCAAGCAAGGAACATCGTTTGCTTCGCAGTCGGTCTGTTCAGCACATCAACTAATGAGTCATTATCTGTAAACACAACAGACTGACTGTCTGGAAGATGAAAGCTTAACCTAATCACCGGTGGGTCTCTAAAGTGAATGTCAAAGCTAAATAACCTCCAAGCAGCCTCGCATAACGAAAGATATCTGCAGTTGTAGTACATCTTTATCTCATCGCGATTTTCAGGAGTTGCACCTGGATTATTTGATTGATAAAATGCCGCCGTGACCCGATCGTGTCCTTTGTTGACGTACTTGAATAAATACTTTATCGACTTATTCTGGTTGCACAACTCGACATTAATGTGTGCTCTGTACTTTTTCAGTAGAGCACGGTTATAAGGCACGACGAAACCATTGTCGAGATATGTTTTCTTCTTAACCACGGTCCTCCCATTTTCTCTTCTTCTGTACACCGGATAACCATCTGTATCGGCCTCAGTACGGTTGACAAAACTATTTAGAAATCGCTTCGTGCAAATCCCGTCCTTCATGCATGGAGAGTTTTGATTGGCCAGACCGCACGGGCCGTGAATCATATACTTCTCAACCAAATCGTACATCTTTCGGTCTGTTACCTTATCTGGGATTTCGGCACATATGATTTTATCTATGTCTTTTGATGTCTTCGGTTTGTCTTCATTGTGAAGCCAAATCAATATGTGCGCATGCGGGAGACCGCGCTTCTGAAACTCAATTGTGCAAACATCTGAACATTTTACATTTTTAACGTATTTGGTTAGCATTAATATACATATATTTTCAATGTTTGACGTAATAAAATATTTATAATATTATAAGAGTAGACAATGTTAAAATATATATTATGTTATATTTTTATCTTATAAATTGATACTTACATGCTCTAATGCGATCAAATATTTTGCCCTTCTTCAAATCTGACATCAGACTGTCGAGCTTCATCTTAAAAACTCGAGCAAGAATATCGGGACGGTCTTCAGGTCTCAAATTAGTACCATTCAACGCCCTTTGAATTTCCGGCCACTGTGGATTGCAGGTAATAGTGATGAACAACGATGGAAATCCAATCCAGTTGCATATTTGAAGAGCATCGACAAAGTTGTTAAACATGTATCTTGGACCTTGGGTAAAACTGCCTGGTAGAATAACCCTCGTGCCAATGGATCTAGCATCCGTATCTCCCATCAAAATACTTTTCTCGATACCCTTGTACATGTCAACTCTTAACTTATCCTGGTTAAATCTTATAAATTTCAGTCATTCCGATTCAACCCTTGAAAATGCGTCGACCATGAATTGCTGGCACAATTATTTTGAGTGCAACAGAACTGCACTGTTGCCAAATCTTTTTTGGATCCTATACGCAAAATACTGCCGCATTGTTAACTTCTTGCGTATACGTATACCACTCACTGATGTTTCTCTCAGTGGTATATCATCCCTATAACCATCCTCGCCGTAAGGAAATATTAGCAGATACTGCAGTGGAAGATATAAAGGGTGCAACTCACTGATTCGCTGGAGTTTTTTCGACCGTGTCTCAACAACTATGTCTCTAACACCCTCCTGGGTGTCAAAATCACCAACAATGAGTCACGTGATTTCACTGGAGTTCGGGAGATTGTAAGTACGGCCATCCGTACTTCGTTTTTTTATGAGTCTCAATTTGACATCTTCCATTCCAGTCTGCGCGAGCCTGTCCCGGGCAGCTCTGTAAGACTGAGCAAGCATATTTGAGTTGTCGACCATATCATGTAGAAACAATCTCAGGATCCAATTCGCTGGAACTGTCTCCGGATCTGCAACGATAAAATGAAACATAAAGTAAATTCCTTGTAATATAAAAAAATAATAACATATAACTGAAAGTGCTTTATACCTGACTGTATTCATTCGATTCGTGACTTCATTCTCCGTGTCAAATACATAAAGTTGAGCAAACTTGGGACGCGATCCTTCATCTGGCAACAAACTACCCATTAAATGGTAGTTTTGTCCATGGAGTAGGAACGTGTACGGACCGGATCCTCTGTTTATCGTAGTCTGTATCTTTCCTCCAATAGATGTGAATGAGAACATCATATTATACGACCGTATGTGTTCTTGGAAATGCTTGCTTCTTCCATCGGTACCAAATAGGAGAATCTTTAGGGGATCTGGTGATTATATTAAATTGGGCAATTCGACTTTTCCTCCATTACAGCACATTGAAAACTTAGGATTTGATGTACCCTTTTCCTTATCGATCCTTTCCCCGTTCCACATCATTGCGCCATTGGCATTCGTATGACTGATCACCAAGATCATCGTATTCTGCGTAGGAAAAAGACATCCGTTATTACGATGAAAACGACATGTTATCATACTTAATTAATATTGGAGTACTTACCATCATCGTCGTCGGAATCAATGAATGTTTCGTCATTTGATACATATTCTGATTCTATTTAAATAAAAAATAATGATGATATCAATTGATTATTATGAACAATTTATTCAAAACGAATTTTACGTGATAAATGTGATCGAAATTATAACACATACATCCACTGTCCGAAGTAATTTTTTGTATAGTCTGTAAATCTTCATCAACCAAAGTGACAGGTTTTGAATCCATATCCAAGTCACGTACAACAGAATGTATGGTTTTTTGACTCTTCGATATCATCTTTCGGGTACGAACCGAAGAACTGTAAATTATTCAATGAATAAAAAAATATTATACTTTTACAATGTTGGATATGGTAACATATTAAATACAAATGTGTTATATAATTGTATTAATGTTGTGTTTCATAAATATTACGAAATGTACCTTTTGTTGTTTCGTAGTATGTATGAGCAGAAATATTTTGCACACTGCCAATGCTATGTAACCCATCTATCTCGACGAATTAGCATCTGTTGGAAATATTATTAAAGACATCCGTAAGAAAATTTTGAATAATTCTTCTAATGATGATAATTAATTAATAGAGTGGCAAACCTTCACAATTTGCTGCAACATTGGTA